AGTATATGGGTTATTTGTGATGCAGGAAATTTTGCTCGAAGATATATAAAATCTAAACATTTTTAATATCCTATAACACCTGCCACTTAAAGTTTGCTATGAGTTCAGATCTAGAATGCTCTACAAAGCTGCCTCTAGTCTTTTGTTGTTTCTTTGTGTCACTTTTTTCTAGTTTGCATAGAAAGTGCAAAATTTGGAGATTCCGACAGGTGCTTCTAAATGAGGTGAATGTATTAGCAAAGAGGATGTTAATATACAACAGGAATGCTGACAACTATGCTTTTAGCAATACGAGCTTTAAGAGTTCTTTTTGCATTAGCCAAACTGAGGGATCTGAAAGCTTCCAGATCATTAGCTCTTTGACAGAAAACACGAAAACAATGTTGAGTGGATATGAGTGGTTCTTTGACATATTCCACTTCCCATGGACAAAACTTGTTAATGGGTCACTGTCTATGCTCATTTTTACAACAGAATCGGTAATTTTAAGGACCTCAGCAATTCCRTAGCCTATTTTTTAAAACATGCTGAAAATCAGTCACTAAAATAACATGGTAATATGTAAGCACKCTTTTAGAGCCATTTTCATGAATGGTAAAAACTAACTCATGCAGAAGATGACTGGAGATTTACCAATGTGCAGAAGAATCCACTCATGAACATGAAAGGAAGGTACAGTAAAGCTTGGATGGAGATTTAAAAATTACACAATTTCTGTGTAGCGAGGTRTGTTTATGTATGCACTACATATATACTTGCTTTAAAGAGGTATTCTTATCATATTGGCAGCATAYAATAGATCATTTTGAACCCTGGCCAGTGAGTCTCCACCTCTTTGTCTACTTTCCAGTAAAGAAGTTTCAATTCACAAACCTTAGAACGTTGCTATCACATCTGTAAATCCAGAAGAGTTACCAAGAATTCCATAGCTTGGAAAACCATTTGTCTTCTCATATTTTGAGGTTATTAAATCCAATAACCAGAATAAATCAAACTCCTGGATTARCCTATTTCTACTGATAAGTAGAAGACCTACACGTTTTTTCCATATGGAATTATTATTACTATTTTAATTACTCCTTTCTCAGAAAAATTATACTCTTCCACAGAACGGATTATTTCTTTACTTTTTTTCATCATTCTTCATGTGTTCTCTTCATTTTATTTTAAAATTAGCTTTATTAGATCCTGGACACTCACAAATTAAAGTAGTAAAAATTACCTATGGAAATAAGAATTAAATGCTAATAGTGGGGAATAACTGAATTTATATCTCCCACAGCCCAATTCTACTTAGTATTCAGTTAGCTACTGAAGCTTCTATGAGAAATGCAAGTCCTTTGTTTGCATCCCAGTTGACAGAAATGTTTTATTTTGTTCAACTTGGAACCATTCTTTTGGTTTTACTTTTCAGCAAGAAAGCACTATTGTCTCAGGACAAATACAAAATATGTTTTGGTTCATCAGCCAAGACTGACCCAAAATGTTTTATGAGAAACTTTGCTAGTGTGCTTCAGTCATAGCTACAAACCCAGCCTTCAGTTGCTTTCACGCTACAACTCACTGATATCATTAACACAAAGCAAGGAAATTTTAAAATGAAAAAATCTCYAGAGCATCAAGAAGTCATCTTACTGCTTGTCATTAGCATGTTGCTATGCAAGTTGATTTATGATAGCCCGTGACTGRCCCTGTTGCATTGTCTTCCCTGCAAGGATTCAGATTAGAATATGATCTCTTCAGAGAATGAGGCAGTTAATTAAAGCAACTCACTCACTTGAGTGTGAGCTATTTTTCCAGAGAGAAGCTCTAGCATGTTCCAAAAGTTCCTAGTTCTCCCAGCTCTAACTAGCATAGGAAATTGTTTTTAGCAGTTTTATTCTGCAGTTTCTGAACTGACCTATGAAACTTGCAGTTCTCTTTGATCATGTCACTGAGTCATCAGTATAAAATTTTCAGTGAGACTTTTCTGGGCACCAAGCTCTTCATAAACTATTTCCTTTTCCAAGTCATTACATGGATTAATGGTTTGAAGCAGTTCTTTGTCTACTACCACAACAAATTCTATTGGAACCTTTCATTTTTGACAGCCATGAATAAGTTCAAACTGGATTTTTAATTCTCTCTCCTCAGAGTTATGGGCAAAGCAAAAGCTCACCCATTAAAGCATCACAAGTACTTTCACAGTGGATGAAAAAAGAAAACAGCTATTTATTAGTGATGTTTTCTATGGTATCCATAAACAATAGGAAGAGCAAGAATGTACTTTTGTGTATAAAAAGAAAATGAAAAGTATAAAATGAAGAAAGGGTGGGTAAAATTGAACAAGTACAAGTTACATAATTTTGTTTTTCTTCGTAGTAAAACCAGAATACTATTACTATCTTTGTGTATAGACTAAAAATCTGAAAATTTCACCAAAATCTGAATAAGTTTACTATAAGCCTCAACACCTTTAAACTTCTTTCCCCCTTCCTATTCTTTAACTAAATCTTTATCTTCTCTTGGTGTTACTCCATTCAGAAGAGTCCTCTCCCAGGAAGAAACACACACCCAGAGAAACACCTGAGCACACATTGCAACAGAAAAACAATCAGGTTCAGTTCAAACTAGTTAGCACAAAAGTGTCATTAAAGAAAAAAACGTGAAGCACCACATTTCTGAGCCAAGACACTGACACCAAAACTTTACCAACTTTAAAGTTTTTTGCATTCCAGCTCCTGCAAATAGCTGAACAGCTTTTGCCTACCATAACATTTGCTAGATGTGAAACATAACATTGTCTAGAGTTACTTGGAATTTACAATCATTAGTGACAGAAGGAAAACTGTGCACATCCACTGTAATGCAGTTTGGGAGTTTTATTGCCAAGATGGGCAACTGGCATTGATTTATCCAAATTAAATATGCTGTTTATATCATGTTTTTAATTATAAGAAAATACAATACTGAATAAAGTTTGCAACAAGATTCACTGAGATAGGATGAAAATAAAGTCTGACTGAAAACCAGCATGCTTACACCTTAGAACTTTTTGGGCTGTGTACTGTAAGATTTCACTACAGCAAATTTATAAGCTTGGAAGAATTATATCACTAAATATGCACAAAGGATAAAAGCTGATGCATTTACACATTAAAAGTATCTTAGAAACTGGAAAATCTTGTCAAGAAAATAATGTCACAACTTTTGGATGCATTCACCAAAGTAACACAGAAATGAATACACCATGGTATAAGATTTTTTCATAAGATTGTGTGGTATAACACCACCAATACTTAATAAGTGTACTGACTTCAAAGTTAAATATAACCCAATACTTGTAAATAAAATGCTAATAACTGTATTTTACACGGATAAGAATTCCTTAGCACAAGAACAAAGCTGAACTAATGCAAGTTCAGTTCTCACAGACCTCATTTCAAGTTCTTTCCTAGCGAAGAAAATACCCTTTTCCCCTCCAAGAAGATTTAATGATTTATTTGTTAAGTCTACTAAAAGCAAAAGCCTTTTCTTTGGCCAGTTTAGTAACGCTCCTGAGCAGCTGTTGCAGTTTAAATGGRTATCACTGGAATGCAGTAATAATAACTATGAAACTATTCTACCAGTGGGTAATAAGTGCCTTGTATATCAGCATTATTGTTCTCTTTTCCTACCAAAAACATCTTGCATGACACATTTTGGAATTATATTTTCCTTTCTCACAGCCAAATCAGTAATGACTCAGTGAGTTTTATTATTGATTACTATAGCCAAGTCTCTCTACCCCCGTGTCACTTCCAATTTATGAGTCTCATTTACAGAGTTCTTATCAGCTGCATGACCTTGCACTTTGTAGCTCCCCATTTCTGTTGCTGCATTCTGAAAATCACCTGGTTCTTAGTGTTTAACTTTTTGGTCTCCTCAGTATTAGGAAGTGCTTCCAAACTTCCATCAATCTTGCAACCTTTATGACTATCTTATTAATGAAAACAGTAAAACAAGATTAGTCCCAAAGCCAAGTCTCAGGAAACTCCATCAGCATAATCTCTTCTCTCTAAAAGTTTTCATTTTAACACAAAGAATTGTAGCCTCTCATTTATCTAGTTCATCACTCCCTTACAGTTCCCGCCCCATCTTAATCCCTATTTTCTGTAGTTTAACTAATGATTTATTACACAGATTTCCAGACAAGTAAAAATACCTTACCAGAAAGCAATACTGAGTTTATCTGTCATAGTATGCTTTTTACAAGTTGCTGTTTTACTTTATGCCAGTTTTCAACAGTTTTCATATATTTGTGGGTTTTTTTTCTAAATTCATAATGCTAATGAAGCCATAGTTTGCTAGTTCACTTTTCTTTAGTATAGATATTATTTTTGCTGTTTTACTGTCATATATGGGACTACCCCAGGTACTTAATAGACTATTCTGGAAATGCTGTTGTATACCTACCAAGCTAATGTTTATATATAATGTTGTTTATAAACAACAACAACGTAATTTAGAAATATTTCATCTTGGCCTTTCAGACAAGAAGGATCAGTTATGATATTGTCTCATAGTTAAGCAGTTACTTAAATCTCTAAAAGCAGCTATTACCCTGACTGAATGCTTGTTTCRGTGCAATGATGCTTGCTCAGCATTTATTAGCAGATGCACAGTAGTAAAACTTGCCCCCTCTGCATAGCTAACAGCCTATGAATGTGCCTGCAATAACAGTAGTAAAGTCACAACACCTGTACCTAGCTTTTACAATATGTTTTCAAAAAAGGACTGTATCAATAAGACCAATGTTTTCCATATAATTGTTACTGCTCAAATAGACGGACTCAGGTGCACATCTAGACTGCCTGTTTTGAAAAAGATCTATTTTTTGATTGAAATTTTGCAGCTTAGGCCCAATTGCAATTAACAAYTACACATAGCTTGAATTTCAGTTTTACTACTTCACTCTATGGAAGACTGTGTTTCATTAGTAACTTCATGAGATTTTAGATTTCATCTTACTATGAACTGTTATGAATTTTATTTCAGAGGCCCTGGAATCACAGATTCAGCACACTCAAACAAGAAAAGATCAGCAAAACTTAAAAACCAAATTTCGACTTTATAGAGACCAAACTGAAGAAAGCTGTCTGATTTTGTTTAATCAGTTGGAGACTCTTGACCAATGCAGTTTCAATGCCTCTCTTCCTCTGGTGATGATAGTCCATGGATGGTCGGTAGGAACATACATTTTCTAATTCAAGCTTCATCTGATTTGATATACTTTCTCTCTCATTATACTAGTACCAAAAGTAACTTCAGAAGAAAGGCTGGGAGTATAAGAGTGGTGGATTTCCTTAGCAGCAATCATGGCTAGAAATAATGAAGGGGATATTCCCCATTGAGATTCTGAAGGAACACTCAACAAGCAATTTTTCATGTGGAAGTCCCATGCCAGGGATTATAGTCAGCCCTGGTTTAAAGCCAGCACAGTTCAAACAAGTAGCTGAATTATGCTGTGCCTCAGGAGGACCAAATACCAGTTTCATTTCTCTGATATGTTCACTGCCAGATATTTACAGACTTACTGAAAAGTAGTGCACAATCTCCCTATATCTCTCTCTCAGGTACACCTTTAAGGAGAACTTCTCTATAAGCTTTTCAGCTGAAAATAAAGCTCTCAGCATCAATGAATTATCWCTGAACTGCTTTCAGTTAAAATGTTAAAGGCATTGAACAACAACAACAAACTACCAAGTAAGCCTCACTCAAACGCATACTATGTTAGAAGGAGTTCTGGAAGAGCTTCTCAACCGAAAATAAAAGAGAGGATAGGAAATATGTCATTTTCACAAACACTTGATTCTCTTTAGAATCAATGTCATGAGAGAAGGTGGTAAAAGGCATCTTTGTGGCACTATGCAGTCAGAGAAACCTTGAATCACACTCTTCTTATATATAATTCTCAACACAAAACACAGCACAGCTGACTATGGACTGAATATTGCCATAGGCTAATTCAGCCAAGTTTCCCAATTAAAAAAAGTTTCAAATTTTGTTCAAACTCTCAAAGTCAAATTATGGACCTATGGCTATTGTTATCAAATCAAATTTCACATCAGTTTCACRTGCAGAAGTGTTGGGCTCTTAGAGGAACACGTGCAGAAACCCAGCTTTGAGATTCTCAAATTCTGTTAAAAACCCAGAAGAGATTAGGATGTTCTGCTAAATCAATAACACCAACATCATTTCACTGAGAGAGCTCATGTCACAAGATCTAAGCTATTTTACATCTACATAAATTTAGTGACTTTATCCACAAAAAACACCCAAATCTCAGAAATGAAATATGCTGAGGTTCTTAAAATTCAGTACTAAATTCCCTTGATTATATTCTGTTTTCTGTTTCCTTGAGCTTTTCTCAGAAAATGTTTGCTACGGATTGTTTTCTCTTAAATATTTTTCATTCCAATTTATTATTWTTTTTTTTTTTTAACTGAACAAAACAGGTAGATGGGATTTTAGAAGAYTGGATTGGGAAAATGGCAGCAGCTCTGAAGTCTTATCACAAACAAACTAATGTGATCATTGCAGATTGGCTTACACTTGCTCACCAGCACTATCCCATAGCTGTACAGAACACACGCCACATAGGACAGGAGATAGCAGAGTTCCTGGAATGGCTGGAGGTAAGAGCTACCAAATCAAAATGTGCTTATTCAGGAAAAGTATATCTTATGYTTCTACTATAGTTCTAAAATATGATGTTGGTCACTGCAGTCCATTTCAATTACATTATTTTAATACATTGAATTTTTTTCTTCCATAAACCTTCAAATGATTTCATAAAAAAATGATTACACAGACAGAAAAGCAAATAATCTTGTTTACTAAACTACTTYGGTATGTATTTAGAGTGGAGATCATTTCAGGCTAGTCATTTGCTATGTTCCATTAGTATGTATGCCGACAGCTGACATGATATCTGAATCATACAACTATTCAATAATACTTCTAATTTGGTTCTCAGTGAAAGAAACCCAGAGGAGGAGCCCTGTGCTGTGAAAGCATGCCCATGTCATTTGCAAGTGGTTAATTCAATGAAATGCATTTGTGATCTCCATTTTATTTCTGAGTCTAATGAAGGATCTGGGCATGACATTGYACCTATCTTTTATCTCAGTTCCCCACAGACAACTCTAAAGTAACAGCTTGGAGACCCCAAAAGAAAAGGAAAACCTTTTAGGATGACACACATTGCATTACAGATGGCACAGAGACAGTAATGGCTAYATGCTAGAATAGTGGCTACTCATCAAAACTACTACTAGGCAGAGCAGTGGCCATGTCATACAGATGTTCTACCTGTCTAGGTGCCAAACTTGAAAGTGCTACACAGGAGTCTGCAAGGGATCTCTGACTGCCARTACTATTTAATAAAAGGCAGAAAGCAAACTACTAGAATGAGAATCACTCATTCAAATCATTCATGCTACGCAACTCCTATTCCATCTAGCTCTGGTACTAATTCAATCTCTCTGTTTTGAAATGTAGTTATATTTCTTAGCTCATAAAGATTTTTTGAAAACATTTATTTATATACGGTGAGATCTGAGGTAGGAAAAAACACTTCAAAGATGAGGTATCTGTAACAAATATAAGAGAAAAAAAATAAACTGCTTTCAACAGAAATTGTAAGGGTAAAAGAAGTTATTAGATGTGATGTCCAGTTAGGGACAGCAGACATGAAGGGGAGGGCAGAAGAACCAGTGTCAACATTTTGCTTTGTAGCATTACAAAAAACCTTTGCTCTTGTTCAAATGCGGTCTAAGCTGCTGAACACCRAAAGCCATATTTTGAAACTGTTTAATTATTGAATGAATCAAATGGTGGACTTTGTTCAGTTCCCAGGGCACAAACACACTGTCAATAAAAATGACAGCCAGTGATTTCTCTGGTGCCAGCTTGAATAAATGACATCTACAGCACTGTACGCAGCTCCTCTTGYGCCACAACATGCAGCAGGATTTAAATAGACCTTCACTTTTCAGAACATTCAGTTCACTTAAGAGAGTATGTTCAAGTACATTCCTTCTGTTGAAAAGCACCCTAGTGAATTTAATGGTAAAACAACTTTCACTCCAAGTYTCATGCTTGTCTTTCTGCTGTGCTTCCCTCTCTCCTTACCATGAAGGAGAGTATTTGGAATATCCTCAATTGAGGTGACAAAAGCTGTAGTGCTCTGCAACATTTTAATCAAGAATAAAAATAAAGCTAAGTGCTCTTAGTCCAAGAGTTAACAGGGCATGATCTCTAGCTCGATAACATCTGTCAATAAAGCTATAAGAGCTGTCCTCCATCAAAAAAAAAGGCTACCAACTTCTACCTCATCCTCACAAGAGAAAGACAGAGACTGCAAAGGGATTCCACCAGAATATGCAATATCCATATTGAAATTAAAACACTGCTTTGCCTGCAAAAATAAAAGCACACTTTTTCTCTGTAAGTCAGAGGGGAAAAAAAAAAAGAGCCTTACAGGTCCCGTGAAAAGCTTAAAACCTACAGCAGAGAAGAGCCTGAGGTCAGTTTGTACAAATCAATCCAAGAAATATCATTGCCAGATCTTACACTTAAGCACCCCTAATGAATGTTGTGACACAGGCTTCTAATTCRGCTCAGTCCAGCATCACAGGCAAAAGCACAAAAGCAGCAAAACACTCTATACACCTCTAACAACTTCTATGATTTCTATAAACTTTGGGACTTTCTTTAAGGCCACAGTCATAAGAATGTTGCATACAACACCACTACCTTTTCATCACTTGCAAAAAATAGCAACAAGAATCTTGCCATCTTGATCTACAGTTTACCTGAAAAAAAAAGCATATAAGTAGTAGCCCAAATGCATGGTATTTTCCCAATGAGGCATGGAAAGGAGGAATAGAGCAGACAGAAAGTTACTGTGTGACTGACATACTTCATTTGACATCCAACATCAACATACAAAATTACTGCATATAATACAAAGAATTCCTAGCTTGCAGTAAGTGTTTTACTAGCTTTATTTTTCACATTTTCTGTATTTAAATCAAGCTGCTGCTGTCTTCCAGGAATCTATTCAATTTTCCAGAAGCAATGTTCATCTAATTGGGTACAGCCTAGGAGCTCATGTTTCAGGCTTTGCTGGCAGTTACATTAGGGGTACAAACAAGCTTGGAAGAATTACAGGTAAAAAAAGTTGTAACTTCAATAAAAAATAACAGTTAACTAGTTTCTTTGCTCAAGTTACGTAGTTTTAATGTAAACTCTTTAATTCTTGTTTTTATTAATCACACTGATAGCATTGGTTATGCAAGACCTTTATAGGCAGTGACTAAGGTTTCTATTTAATTTTCTTTTCAGACTAAAGTCTCTAGCTAAATCCATGCTGTATATAGCCTCCTTTTCCAACAGCATCCRCTCCGAAACTTAAAATACTCATGCATGAGCACCTTAATCTACTTCTGTAATACTTTAAATTCAGTAAGACTATGTAAGTGTGCTTCAAAGSGACAGAATCCAACTATGTGGATTGTAAATACTATCCTGTACAGAGATAGAAGGTAAAGTGTGACTATATTTAAATAAGCACCATGGAGGCATCTCGAGATAACTATAACAAACAGGTATGTTCCTCCAATTGAACAACTGATTACTGAAATTTCAGAAAAACTGCAGTTAGCAGTGATATATCCAGAAAAAGAATCTGGCCACATACTTGATAAAGTCACACTGTACGTTCAAAAAAAAGAATTAACTGTATTGTCTTTTTTCCCTTTTTTTTTTTTCCCCCCCCCTCAACAGCCCTATAGCTGTAGAGTAGCAGTCTGTCACAGTTGAAAAGTTTCTCCCACTGGTAAAAATTAGGATGAAAATCTACAGAAAACAATTCAAAGAGTAGCCTTTCACAGTATTTCTAGGTATGATCTTTCCTATCTCAATCCAAACTACAATGTATGGAATGTACAAAGAGACTAGAAAACAAACCAAAGATTTTGCCTACTCTTTGAATTGATATTGCATCTACTCCCAGTAACACCTTAAAATAAAAGTTAGCTAACAGTTTTGGATCTTTGGCTCTCTTTGTCGCTATCCTGACCCCAAACCTTTTTCTCTTCAGCTTCAGTGGTCTCATTCAGTAATATCTACATCATTAACAAGTCATTTTAAAAACAAAATTATGCCAAGGAAAATCACCTAATTATTCTTGAGCTTTCAATTGTAGTATACTGCTTTTACAGTGAATTGAAGCAAATTCCTTTATGACAAGATTATATGGATCCTGGATTATATTTTACAAGATGAGTATCCCTAAAACATGAAAGTTAACATGAGTAAGCATGAAAATAGAAAGAAGAGTAAGCATGAGTAAACRCGAGTAAGCATGAAAGTTAAGCAGAACACTTGATTGCGGCATTTTGAGCCTCCTGTAATTTTATAATTGCATTAGTTGAGTGCAAGGAAAATACTACCGTATACAATGCCACACCTAATGCATAGTGACAGCTTAGAAGAAAAAATAAAAGCCGTGCGTCTCATAAGGTTACCTGCATCAGCTATAATTTTTAAATTACTAGAGAAAATATTGTTCAGACCATATTAGCACATCAAATCATCACAATGGATATGTAAAAACATTATAATAGTTATATGTATTTTTTCAGCAAAAAATGTTCAGAAGAACCTCCAAGAGTTCACACTGATTAAAAGTACTAAAAAAAACAACAAAAAAAGCATGCAGAATGGCATCCCTACTTATATTGCCTATACTTTCAGTCTTGTTCAGTTACTTGTATGGGATTTCATTCATCCATAGTATTGACAGAGAAGATGAAGTTTAGAAGTTTTCCCCAAAGGAAAAAAAAAAAAAAAAAAGAGGTAGCTTTAAACTAGTGGGGCAGTCCCTTTTCCTAATTCCATTTCTCCACCAAAACTACTTCACAAGAGCAYCTACTAAACTACAACTAATAGAAGTGGAACTAACTAAAACTTTGTGAAGTGGAATATTATTTTTTATCACACAATAATAAATTGTCTTCAAATCTTTTAATGTTGAAAAAATATTATAAATAACATGCAGCAGATGCAGAACTTCTTTAGAAGTGAAGCTTTCTAAAGTTTCAGATCCTAAATGTAGGCTAAAAGTCAATCTTGTTGCAGGACTGCTGTCCTCAAAAGGGCAGCTGAAATGCGTGACCTCCAGAATATGAAAGAGCAAAATTAAGTAAATATTCCTCAAGAGACAAAGCAGTAACGAGCATGGTTTGTCTACGACAAACACATCTATCTCTTTGGGCCAATGTCCTTATGCATGTAGCAGTTACAGTGTTTATGTTTAGTTTGCCTTTTGGTGTAACCATGTACCTACCCTCTGCAGAGCATGTCCTTAGCATTGTTTCCATAAATGTCTTCATTACGTTACCAGTGCTGTCAGTTTTTTAATATTTATCTCAGTTTTCTTTCTTGGGAGTAAAAGAAGGACATGTCTATAATATATCATGACAGATTATTGCATTTATTGCAGGCCTTGACCCTGCTGGTCCCCTGTTTGAAGGAATGTCACCAACAGACCGTTTATCTCCAGATGATGCAAACTTTGTAGATGCAATTCATACATTCACTAAGCAGCACATGGGGCTCAGTGTCGGCATCAAACAGCCTGTGGCCCACTTTGACTTTTATCCCAATGGAGGCACCTTTCAGCCTGGCTGTCACATCATGCACATGTATAACCACATTGCACAGTATGGAATCACTGGTAAGAACTAACGGGATAAAAAGGGAGGAAGTATTGCATCTGGATTGACAGTATCTCCAGGAWTCTCTGTATATCTCTATGGACCTAAAATAGTTTCTAATGGGAGTGTTATCTCTCATTATATGCAAGGCAGTTTCTTTTCTAGAAACTGATTATTTGATTTTCACATATATTGAGTTCACTCTTTTCCTACTGACTCCAGTAAGAAATTTTGGCTGCTTAGCACTTCTGAAAATGAGGCCATGAGCATCCTGCTGTCAAGCACTTTGGAATAATTTCAAAGGTATTTGTTTTGGGGGTAGAGGAAATGAGAATACTTTTTCTAATTAAGTCAGATCTATCTAGTGAGCAATTATTTCAAATCAAATAAAACAATGCTGTACTACTCACCTCCTTAATTCACCTTTCCCCCATCCTTAAGTTCTGAAGCAGATGATGCTCTCTCTAGGACCTGACTGCCTATGTTCCAGGTTGTTTTATATATAGAAGCCCAGTTCTGATGTACCTAAATGTAAATGTAAAGACTGATGTAAAACTAATGCAACATACTGCAGAGATAAGTCATCGATGCACAGTGACAATTCATCAAAATCCCTCATAAGGACYTTTCACCCAGCATGTGGCACCGCCAAAATTCTCTCAACCATCATCACATTACAAAAAAGTAGGCCTTACTTGTTAACAGAAACTCATGAAAAAGAGAAGCCAAGCAYGAGTTAGAAAGCTGTCAGTCAAGACATGTAAAAGTCTACTGCTATATACCCCAATTCTACAGAATAAAATAATTACTAGAATTTAAAGATACTGATAGGGAAAAAAAAACTGATAGAAAAGACAGACTTATTTCTCATGTATATATATCTAATATATTTTACTCCCTTTTCTCTATAATTGTTGCAAACAAAATTGAACAAGACGGTTTGTCACGCTGACAGGGATAAAACTTACATTAGTGCATAAGCATTCAAAAGTCAACAATGCTCTACCATTCAGAATAAAATTAGTCTTTAATATGGTGTGGTCTGAAAAGACTGCATACAGTAGGGCATTGCACTTCATATTGTCCCGAGCAGCAAGGACACTAAAATCAAGGTACAAATTTAGAGCCTTGCCGCAGCAGGCTGTACCATGCTAAGCAGCAAATCACAGCAATCCAATTTTACTAACATGATGGTTCAGCCAGCAATGTTTGGATAATTTTAAAAGTAAGATTGCTTCATGTATGATTGATGACAAAATCATAACATTTTAAAGCGGGAGAAGAACATTAACATATACAGGCTGTATATGTACCATCAAGCTGGCAAAAACAGAAACAAGTACATAGAAAACTCTGCTATCATTTTTTTTCTAGGCATCACTCAAACTGTGAAGTGTGCCCACGAGAGGTCAGTTCACCTGTTCATCGACTCACTGCTGCACAAGGACAAGCAAAGCACGGCCTACTGGTGCAACGACATCAGCACCTTCGAGCGGGGAATGTGCCTGAGCTGCCGCAAGAACCGCTGCAACACGCTGGGCTACAACATCCGCGAGGAGAGGCTGACCAAGAGCCGGCGCCTCTTCCTGAAGACCCGGGCGCACATGCCTTTCAAAGGTTTGTGGGAACACTTGCCATGGTCTCCAGGCTGGGAGCCATGTGTGAGAGCGAGCCAAAGCACACCGATCCCCTTCACTCACTTATTGATGCTTGTAAAGGCTAAAAGTGGAGAAGTGTTTGAAAGTAAAGCATGGCAGCAGGTGGGTACCCTAATAGGAAACCACATTCCCTTCATGGAGATCCTGGCTCTTAGCACTGCTGTGGGGAAAAGCACCTTGCATCGAGCAAACACTGTGGCCTCATAGCCTCTGAGCTGCTCTGGCTCCCCATCAACAGTATTTTCCTGCAATAGTTGCTCCATTTCAGTTTACTGTAACACATGCAGGCTTACAGCCATGCCAAAAAAGCAGCATAATTGCTCCAGCAGGCCTGTAAAAATTCTAACTCCAAGCATGACCAAATTTTGCCTGTAATTAGTCTGTGAGAAGACACACAGATTACAGCTTTTCAGGCAATGGGTAGACAAGAGAACAGCACGCCTTTTTCCAAAGAACAGAACTGTGGCACTACAAGAAAGTGCCTCAAGCTCGATCTCCATGAAGTTCCTTCACCAAGGGAACTACGTTGCCCTCTTTCCCCTGAGCTGGTGCCGGAACCGGCGCGAGACGCCGCCTCACAGTGCAGTGACCGTTGGCGGCCCCACCCCGCTAACGCCGCCACCGCTAACGGCCGCCACCGCTAACGGCCGCCGGGTGCAGGCCGGTTGTGGGAGGTAATGTGGGATAAACCACACAAACTTCCCAGGGAGGCAGCCCGGAGGGACTGCGGCAGGCTCCGCTCAGCCCACGGAGACACCACGTAGCCCAATCTGACAGACTTCTTCTTCCACTTAAAACAAACACCCCCTCAGTTCCTGCCCCCCCCCCCAAAAAAAAGAAGAATCTGCTTAACACAGATTCTGAATTTTCCAAAGCCCGAGCACAGTTCCTGTCTTTTTTGATCTCGGCACAGGTTGCCAGTTGCACTGCTCAGCCAGCCATGCTGCTTGCTGTGCCCTGGGCACTGAGGGTGGTCCTGGTTGTTGTTTCCACCCTCTGSCCCCCCTGTACATACAGATATTTTACTACAGGCTGTTGTTATGTCCTGCTGACTTCAATGTCTTTGCATTTTCACTCTTGGAACTGGTTTTGAATAAATAAGTGGACATGTCCATGGCACTCATCCAGCCATCGGTGCTCTGGACAATAGTTCCCTTTCAGAGAAGTTGCCCAACAGGCCTGTGGGACGCTGGCATGGAGCGGTCCCTACGCCTCCGGGGAAATGTCTGAAGCACAAAGGGAAGAAATCTGAGAAATGCAGCATTGCACTTCACAGTCCTCCACTTTTCTCGAGGAAACTTGACATTTCATTTTTCAAATCAAATGACATTATGTTYCGGAGTTTATTTTAATCTACTTCAAAAATATATATACACACACACTCACACATATATATTCAAAAAGATTTGTTTTTCCAAAAAAGCAAAATATATATATAGTAAATAATGTAATGTTTATAATAGTTCTTGTGATGGAATTCTWTGCCAGCCTGAGGTTTTAACAGATATGCTCTCACCTTTCTCCTTAAAAGGAGGCTAGGTTTTATTAGAACATGTACTAYCGCAGTGGACTCTACAGCAAAGGAAACTCAGAGCAAGACTGAGCAGTAATAAACGCCATTTGTAAACAAGCTCGACCCACTTTGTCCTCGCCAGGTTTGCTTTGTGGTTGGCAGCAAACAACCAGCCATATTCTTTCTTGCTGACTAACATGTTTTCAAAAGAAAACACATTCTTTGCTAACATAAAATAAATACTACGAAACACCAACAAAAACGTATAGCTTCTCTAACAAAYACCTTCCATTGCAAAACTCCCCATGCTACACTTACATTCACCCCCCCAGTCCATGCACATATATAAGATTGCTCCCTGAACAGTTCAGTGCCGCCACTCCCAGAAGTGACATTACCCGAGAAGTATGAAACAAGGGAAAAAGGAGGAGGAAAAAGCACCCTATACATAACTGCAGTGCACTGGTGGTTAACCAGAATTGTTTCCTGTGTGAAGTTTGACCAGGTGACAAGGATAAAACACATCTCATTTTCCTAGATACTGAGGCCTTTAATAAAAATGATTTGGGGTTTCTTTCCTTGATATCTAAATCTTTCTGTTGTGAAGCAGAGAGTGAAACCACATTTTACACTATAGAAATATTTGAGCTCCAATATCATTGGACTCCTGCTAGTAACTGTAGCAGTGATTAGTCAGAAACATAAATGGTCTGCCCTGATTGTGGTATAAAATGCAGTGCCAGTCACTGAAAAGCTATTTAGAAAATAACAGAGCTGATTTTGGTTGTTGAAACTAGATAAAGAGCCATCATTGCTCAGATATTTTCAAGTCAAACGTACAGATATCATTTCTTAACAGTAACTTTTCCATAGTAAATACAAACTTYTACATTCCTTTTCTTTCATCAGGCAGGTAACCACTGAGCTTTCAAATCTAGCTGCTATGTGCACATGGCCTCTTAACTGTAGATTTTTTTTTTTATTTACTAAACATTAATGCTAACACTTCTTGTAATCAGCATTGATGATGCTTAGACATAAAAAAAGTCTTTTTTAAATTTAAAAGACTTTCTAAACACTCTTCTTCTAGAAACCACCAAACCTCAATGCGCTACTGACATATTTCTAAAGCAAAGTGCTGAACAAAGTCGTATTGTTAACAGAYGCATGTTAAGCACAATGCAGTATTATGCAGTCAAGGAAAGCTTGTGAGTCATCTGCTTTGTAGAGATATTTTCTAACTCTTCACAGAGAAAAAGTCTGCATAGAGCCTCCAATCTGTGTCAGACATCTCTAACCATGTCCAGTCACAAGGACTCATCCCTAGCTAGAGGGAGGATTTGCCAGAAATTCTCAGATATACTTTAGAAAAGATGAAATATTTCCCAGGAAAGAAGATTTCAGGCTACAAAGGAACTCTATCAAACTTTCCTCTTTTCCTCATCCTTTAAATAGACCAACAGGGCTGTAAAAACCTAAAGGATAATGCAATACAGCAACAATCAATGTTGATTTTTAATTGCAACAACTTGTTTAAAAGATAACAAAWATGTGAATCAAATATCTGCTTTGAAAAGCAAATTTATTTTACCAGACAAATCTATAGCTTTTCTAACCATTCATCATCTCACTTTGCAAATTATTTTCTACAGTCTATCACTATCAGTTCAAGATCYATTTCATCAATGAAATTCAGGAAAAGCAGATAGAACCAACTTTTACCATCTCTCTGACAGGCACAAAAGAAGATGCCAAAAATCTAGCCATCACAYTGTGAGTACTTAATATGTTTTGTTATCTTATGAATCAGTCCAATCTCTAGAACTTTACCATTTATGTAATAATGCTATTATTAATTACATAATAATGCTATGAATTAACTTTTTTAGTGCAGTCACTAAGTGGAGATAACAGGAAATTGTTACCAAATCATTTCTTCATCCATAGTCCCTAAATGCCCCAAACTTCACAACTCTCACAGTTGAAAAGTATGAAATATCTCTATAAAATAAACCCGAAAATCTTGGAAATTGTTTGAATGTTAAGTATTCTGTCCTCTTATGTTCAGCCCAATCCATGACTAAGGCATGTTATAATAAAACACAAATGTATAGCGTGCACCTATACYTATAAAAGCAGATGTCCATACATCCATAAAATGTAGGGTATTGCTTACAAAGGACTCTGAATTAACAAGAGCAAAGGCAATAGAGTGGGTCAGCCTTTGCTCTCACAGACAAAGACCTAGCCCTTGCTTTTCTATTGCTGCTTTGCCAAGTAACTCCTGCTTCTGCTTTTTCTTCTATCAGGTTGTCATTTTTCACCACTTTACTCACACGGAAAGAAAGTAGAGAAATCAAYGTTCTCCTGCAGAAGGGAGAGGATGCCTCTTTGGTTTGAAAAAGTAAACTAAGGCATATTAACTAACGTAGTGTAATTCTGTTTTTGTTTTGTGCAGAGTTGAAGGTATTAGTGAGAATAAAACTTACTCTTTTCTCATCACAYTGGACACTGATATTGGTGAACTAATAATGATCAAGTTCAAATGGGAAGGAACAGCAGTCTGGGAAAATATCTGGGACACAGTTCAAACTATAATTCCCTGGACAAAAGGCACCCGTCGACCAGGGCTTATAGTGAAGACAATACGAGTAAAAGCAGGTGAAACACAGCAAAAGTAAGTATAAAGGAAACGCAACTTTTCTGTAAAAATAAAACAGAAATTTGGCACACTGATTTATCTCACATGAGATAAAATCATCTAAGTCCCAGCAGTCACATAAATGCTGACTTTATCCAGGTACAGCCCCTGGCTTTCTCGCTCTTTACATCACTTCACACTGTGATTTTTTTTTTTTAAGCACATCACACCTTCACTGGCATTTAAGAACTTGTACTCCAATTGTGCTTTTTTTCCTTATTGTATAAAACATATGATGTGAATTTTGTCACGGAACTCTGAAGTAGCACCATGCAGCAGCTTTCCAGAGAAAATGCTTCTGAAGTCTAGTCTCTTTGTTTTTCTGTTGATTGCTTTGGAACTGGACCACAAAGTTTGACTGGTGGTGTACATACGATGATATTAATAACACTTTTGAAACAGCTTATTCTCACAGGGARATTTTGGCCAGGAGATAGAATAACAAAACTTGTAATGATTCCCATAATTTTAATCCTCTGAGAAACTTTAAATGAGCATTTTAATTAAGGTTGATGAGAAAAGTATGTCTTACCTTGCAACTGCAGCTCAGTCTCAGAAGGTGTTTTTCCCTGCTAGAATCTCTTTCTCACCAACACCAGCTGTAATCACTGCAGATCTCCTGTGCAGCAGGACTCATGACAGAGCTGCTTCTCCTTGATACAGACATGGAAAACAAATATGACAAAGTGATCTAAAAAGAATTTGTCATACTTCAATCAGCTGGGGGGTGGTGAATCTCTCATTCATTTTATCCTCACTGAATAGGTATTTTGTGGGTATTTTTCTCCTCCTAATCCAGCRCTACATATACTGTAGGCATAAAGTCTGTTTCCTTACATCCCATGCTATTTTTACAGCAGTGATGCCAAATCAGTACTGACTGCCAAAATATAGCATAGTASACACTAAGTTAGAGAACCCTTAATTAGCCCTTAATAGAGATTTTGTACCTTAAGATATGCAGACTGAAAGGATTATGCCAGGTATAGTCATTTTTCTAACACCAAAGATACTCTCTAGCAGTGCTTATATGTCAGTAACACAGCACCCACCAATTCTACTTATGTGTGACTTAGGGAGTCCCAAAAAAGGGGGYAACTGAAGTGGGTAGTTATTACACTACCATAAAATAATGTGAGTATCTTTAGCTACTTAAAGCTCTTTAGATATTCACTATAATCAGAAATGAGAGTTTGTGCCAAGATTTTAAATTTAATCTGCTGATTACATACTGTTTTCTTTCTGTGCAATCTGGGAATGTAAATAACAGTACAGTTGCAATACTTGGGCATGAAAGAAAGATACTAGGTGATTCTAAAAGGAGGAGTGAAAAATGCTCAAGGAAAAGAATTTTCTTCGAAGACAAAGAGTCTTCTTGGAAAGACGAAAAACATGGATCTAAGAACTAGCAAGCTTGGAATTTAAGTATCAAAAACACTAGGAAACACATGCCTTCCGKTTTTTTTTGTGCTTTCTAGAGAATTTTAATAGACTTAATAGTACTTTATGCATGTGCACTTGCCTTTACTAATTTCCATTGCTTATGTTATTCATATATACAATGAATTAGCATACACAATGGTGTATACAGAATAAATGCACAGCGAGGGCACAATTTGGCTGAACATGCTGTATATGAAATCAGAAGAGTAGTCAAGTACCCAGTACATGCACTTCGCACTCCCTTTGCTCTGTACCTCATATATGGCTGCCACATATCTCTCTCCTTGCAAGCCTATAAAACCAGTGAGAAAAAAAAGGACATCCTGTCCTGAAGAAAATGAGAAATCAGAACACAGTGCCAAGTGTTTTATACTGAAAGCGTCCCTAAAAGGTAACATTATACTTACATAAGGTAACATTATACTTACAAGTTGTATTTTTTTTTTTTCTCTAGAATGACATTTTGTTCTCAAAGCACTGACAACATTCATCTATATCCAGCCCAGGAGAAAACATTTGTGAAATGTGAAGATCGCTTTCCAAAGCAAAAAAGAAAGTTTACATGAGCAAGAGCACAAAAAAGTCCCCAAAATACTATGCATCTAGCAAAACATTTTAAATATACAAAGGTGTTTTACATGAATTAAAATATCCTGAGAGTTTCAGAAACAATGGAAACACAAATAGAATTTAGATATTGTGATTCAATGGTAAACTGAAATTTGCGCTTCATTTAACCATAGTCTCAAAGCAATTCGTTAGTGAAGTCATAAATAGCAAATGCTAATTTTAAAGCTTTTAAAGAGCACCTGCTCATTAAACATTGAAATATGACTATATTAATGAATCATTACTATAAGTCTTTGAAACTATATTTTATTTTCTAGGAGTTAGGGGTGGGGAAGTAAGAGTCTCATTTTCAATTAAACACTTTGAAATATGAACAGTGAATATAATCAGTTAAAGCTTTTCTAATTTATTTACTAATGAAGGGGGAGTTAAATAATTTATAGGGAAAAATGTTTCCAAGTAGTTAACTTTATTACCAAACAGTTTAAGCTTTTTACTTTATAACCTTAAAAACAGCAAAAAAAGTTGTCAACATAGAAAATGTCTTAGCTATTATAATGACAAGACAAGGAAAATTACATCACTTAAATGCTGAAGTGTGTTTTGTTGGCAAATGCTTTGCTGTTACCTGTGGAAATTAACTACTTTAATTAAACTAATAATTTAATTACAATAATGTTGCTTACTACACCAAACAATTTTAGCATAAATAAGTTCAGTAGAACTTYTAAACATATTTTTATCTTTATATGTAAAATCTGAGTTTTCAGATTTTTAAATCACTGTATAGTATTTTTAACAAGATTTAAAATTGCATCAATAAATGGAAAATGGTAAAACCCTTAGACATCTTCAGTGCATGTAATTAAAAAAAAATCAAATTACATTGTTTTGTCACAGTAGAAACAGCATAAAGCAACATTCCTGCATGTTTTCCAATTTTCATTTTCAGATTATGACATAAATTAATAAAAAGAAAATTCACATAAAAACATTCCATTTGTCATTTGAGAATGCTAGACACTACAAGATCCATTAAAACTATGTTTCTACAATTCTGTATTCTGAATGCAATTTGTTTCAACTGTTCTAGATTTAAAAAAGTATAACAGTCATAAAATCCAGAGCAAAGCATGAATTGTATAGTAACAACACAGATTTTCAAATCAATATATACAGATGTTACTAGGATTAAAATGAGATTAACTAAAGGGACAAGTTAAGCAGAAATAGCAATCCTGCAAGCAATAAAGAGTGTTCAAGGGTTGCAAGTAGACATTTTTGCTGACTATTCAGAATATATATTATATATATATATATATATTTAATAGCTACCATTCATTTAAATAGGAATCATAACTAGAGAAACAGACAGCCTGATTAATCATGACAGAACCTGAAGCATACTTACCTTGCAAATGAGGTAGTGGTTATCCTTAAAGTGCACAGTTCAGAAGCTGATATATACAACAGCCACTTGGAATATCATCTTCCTTAAGAAAAAACTCGTTCTGCAATTGGATGCAAATTACAACTAAACTAAAAAAATCTTTTAAATCTTCGGTGAAAAGTTCTGTGAATCTGCTTAAAGCATTTTTAAAAGGCTGTTAATTTTTTCATCTCTTCTTTTTCTATTATTTTCCCTATATTCTATGTTAAAACAAACAAAACAAAACCAAACCAGTTAAAGTGAAGAATTCCATACTCTAGGTTGCTAACTCTAATAAAAGCTCCTTTTATCAAARCTGTTTTTATATAAACGCAGAGCATATTACAAGCCCCTTAATCATTCAAAACTCCTTGGTACAATAGTCAAATCAGACACAAAGAGGGAAATTTCAGTATAATTCCTCTGAATTAGCTAGGTAAATACAAGACTTCAGATGGTCATAGCTACAGTTAAGAGAACTGAAAACATCCACTGGAGCAACTAACTATCCATTGCTAGGGACCTAGGGAGAGCATTATCTTAAGGGAAAAAGTTAAGAGAGAGCATGTCCTAAGGAGCAAAGTACGTGTCTGTCCTTCTGGGCAACTGGAGCTGTTGGGCCTTTGAAGAGGACAGCACAATGAGAAACAGCATTCCTGTGTGTTCTGTGTCCAACTCCAGCAACGCACCTGCCTACAATTCATTCTTTTACCTTCAGAAAAGGTGAATATAAAACACCTCTATTGCTCAYGTTCAGGGTTGCTTTGTTTACTAATCTAAGCATTTCTAGCAGAATTTAAATAGCCTCTTTTAAGTACACCTGCATCATTTGTTATCACCAACTTTTCCAGACTAGGAAATCCATAAGCTCCCTGAAACGAACCYTGCCCACAGAGGAGGGCTTTTTGCCTGGAAGCTGAAGCAGCACAAGGCAAAWGCCACACAGAGCTGGACCTGGCTCCCTCCGAGCTGTGGAGGCCACAATTTCAACACTGCCCTCCACCYCCCTCCTCTGAGCACATCCATAGGAGGCAACACCTACATTCACAGCACAACAGACACTGATTTTCCYGCAGTCACCCTGAAACACTGAGAAACATGTACATGGCAAGATTAGCACTTAATAGCTGTATCACTTACTTGAGTAAGAAAGCAGATAAAGGAATCCTAGCTGTATAGGGTGGGGGGTTCATAGCTTTAGTGCAGAGAAAGCAGGYGATCAAGTAAGGTCACATCTCTACCGGGTACTGAAGTCCAAGCAATGGCAGCACTGCAGTTCAGAGACTAAAGCTTTGGGGRAAAAGCAAAACATTCTCCAGAAACAAGCCAGTATATTCTCTGAWAATAAATTTTTGTACAGACYGTAAAAAAGGAAATTCATAAGCATCCAAACACATTGACTGTTTCAGCTTAGAATGCTCTCACAAGCATGAAGAAACAAACAACTTTGTTCTGATGCCTTTTTCACAAGACACATGTGCAAATTCCACTATCAAAAAATCATTATTCCAATTTATAACGACACCAAAGTGGAATAAAAACTACTATAACATCAGGAACTTTAAGCAGGCTTACAGTTTCAGACTAACATAACATGAAACAATTGGAAGTCCTACCTGTGCCTCATTGGAGCTGCTACTGCCTCATCCCAAACACAGCTTGGGCATTACAAGCCATCAAAACCCTACTCACGCCTCTGCAGGTAAAATTTAAAATGCTGAAAAGTCCTTCTATGCTCTCAACAATCCCAGCRTAATACTGAACCTCTGTTATTCAMAAATCAAAACTCTCCTTTTAAAAAYATTAATGAATAGGCARGATACACCATTGATTCTCTCAGTCACTATTGGTTTTGAAATATGATAATTTCTTAACTTACAAGTTTTTATCCTGTAGCCATTCACACCAATTCTGACTATACATCCATCTCCACAGAACAGGACACTCRAAAACATACTAGGAAATTTTAAAGAATTAATCGAAGAGCTATAATCAAGGATCATTTGGTCAAATAACAGTTAACAAAAAGACAAGCTATTTATGCACTCTTTAGTATCCTCTCAAAATCCATCAGAAATATACAGAAAATTTGTATTTTAAATGCTTGGATGTGAACTTTTTCCCTTTCAACCCCCAAAGTTCCTTATCCTATATTTAATGCTGCTCTTTTGCAATAGGGCTCTGCTTCAGCTTTCTTCCAATGCCTTTTGCCCTGACAGTGGCTATGGAAGTAACGAGGGGAAGCATATATACACACAAGGGAACAAAGTCATAGGGGGAGAAAAAAGTACTGCTAGGAAGGACCTCCAACTATGTTTTGATTACATCAAGACATATATTGTTTCAGTATGGAAACAGATGTCTAAGCAAGTCATTCTTAAACACAGTCCCAAGAATGAGCAAAGACTAGCTGGTAGGACTGGGCTTTTAAAAGCAGGCTTACTTCATTAACAAAACAACTATCCAACACACATGAAAATACAACTTCCCAACTTGAAGGTTTTAAAATACCTTGTCAGCAGCAGATTTGATCCTTCTACAAACCTCATCCATCAGCATTTGAAATATTATGTTAGTTGGAGTATTCCTCTTCAAAAAGAAACTTACTTCATGAGGTAACCAACYGTTTAGTAGCTTCGTTGCTGTGCTTGAATACCTCAAGAGTAACTAGGTTCCACTTTGAAGGACAGAGAAAGCCTTATTCTGAATGATCATACAAGTGTTTAAAGGCAATTTTAGGAATTTTTCTTTAAGGGGTTATACAAATAAGTACTTCCCTCTTGCGTTTAATTGTGTGATGCCACATGTGGGAGATGCACTGGCCTAGCATTTGGATCACCCAACTACTTTAGGGAGTAACAGTCCCTCAGTAGCAAAAGGCAAAAGTTAAATGGAAGCAAAATCCACATTCCTTTGTGCATTCAAAGTTCAAAAATTAAATGGACTTTTAGCAGAAGATTTCATCAAGTCTATTTATTAATGCATTTCAAGTTTCAAAAAACCTTACATCTTTGCACAATACTTTATTTTTTGCAATTTTAGTAAAAATTTCCAAAGTGAACAAAAAAAAGATACTGTATAAAACACAGTGGACATGAAGTTGACAGTAGTATTCCGTTTCTGTTGTCTCAATCTTCCTCTTACTTTTACCACATCTCGACTTGCAGTGAAGAGAACTCAGTGCACATTTCTCTTTTCAGAAAACATTTAACTTAGACTCAAAATAAAATAGGGCAGCATTTGTCTGCCAAAACCCTACCACAGGATAACATTACAGGCAAAAAATTTACATGTTCCAAAGTCTACCACACTCAAGAAGTTACTAAGAACTCTTGCTGAATAAAAGTCACCATTTTAGAAATGCAAACCCACTTCCAATCTTTGCACAGTCTTAAAACAAATGTATTTTAAATGATTTAAAAGCAACTACATATACTTCTAACTAGTTAAGATCATTTAGAATTATTTATACAGTCTATTGGACTGGGGTTTCATGTACAAAATTTGTCTAAACCATGTACAAAAAGCTGTATTTTGAAAAAATCACCACATACTGTACAAGTTTAC